ATAATAATATTCATAATAATAATCACTTCAAATCCTCCTTCCTCAATTAAAGTGAAAATATAAAGCTGAAGTTTTAGTTTTTACTTTATTTTTAACACCTGAAAGAACTTGAGATTTCCCAGAAGATAAGAGAACGGATGAAAATCTCCTTATTTATCTGCCCATCAATCACACCAGCAGTGCTACGATAAATTAGATATTCATAGTTTCTCATTAAATAACTTTAATAAGTTTCCTTATTCTTTTAGTTTTGATAAACAACTTGGCAAAAAACCCACACATTAGCAATGCAACCTGTCATGAGAGCTCACTACATAAATATAATATATCTGTGGGTGTCTATCTGCACTCCTTTAATAGTCGTCGCACACAGTCAAGAACATTACCGAGCTAATGTGTTATATGTGAAGAGACATCCGAGTATCTAAGAAAATCAAATTCACTCAAATCGCCTTTTTTCATCACAGTGAGAGCTCTGTCAGAAACAATCGTTCCTTCCTGCTTTCAGAAGTATGAGCAGGCCACAAGAGCGATTAAGCTGAGGTCTCAACGCAACACAAAGTGTGGACTCGAAGGCTATTTTAACTAAGACATGTATGTAAGTAAGACATGCTTCAGAAGGCATGAGTCAACTCCACGATGACCTCTCCCTCTCCAGAACTGGCGTTTATTTGAAGAGGCTGGGAGAATGAAGCCGCTTTCATCATGCAGGCTTTACCTGCTTCCGTACAGTAGTACGCCCATACGGCCAACGTGAGGCTTGGACTGCCGTTTGATTCCTTCATAACGACTGGAAGTTTGGCTGAGATGCAGAGGGGCTGTGAGACATCCTTAATGGAACCAGTAAGCACCTGATGGTCTAGCAGCCACTCGTTACCTTTGAAAAAACAAAACAAAACAGGAAGTGATGTCAAAGGACGTCCAACTTTTATGTACAGTGTACATGCCTTGCTGGTAAGCTGGTAAACTCAGGCCAGGCATTAACCTCAATGTTACTTTGAGATGAAGCACCCAGTTAAGCATTGTTGCAGCACTCTGCACAGTCTCTCCCAGCGGCTTAGCGCACTCTAGTACTGCTCAGGAACCTTTCCAGATACCAGTCTGATTGGTAGTTCTATCTCAACTCTGTAAGGATATGCTTCCAAAGTCTAGGACACTCTCAGAATTCCAGTATTGTGTCCAGAATTGGCTTGGCAAGGACTAATCTGGACTTTGCTTTGGGAAATATGAAGGAGGCCATAAATTTTGGACTTTTATCATCAGCGTTTCTCTATCATGTCAAAAAGAAAAACAAGACTTTTTTTATACTCACAATCTTTTCCCGATATAAAGACATATTCAGGATTAAAAGTGTGGTTAAACTCCTGTATAGTGACAGACAGTGAAGTTTACTTGTCAGGCACACTGAATATTGTGGGCTGTCCACGATGAACCCACAGACAGATGCACTTCGAGAATGACTTAAAACTAAGCTCAATCCCGGTTTGTCCGCCTTAGTTCATCCATGTTTTGAAAGAACAGATGGCTTTGAATGAGAATGGCTGGCGTCTCGATTTATTGCTGAACGCAGTGCGGTGCAGCCAGAGTCACTCAAGCCTGCACAGTAAAACAGTCCCTCTGAAATATTAGGACAAACTCACATACCCTTACTAAATCAAATAAAGAGTGGTTGAAGACATTCATTTTCTGAAACACAGGGAATATTTTTAGACACAAGTACACATCTGAAGCGACACGACCACTGAAAGATAAATGAAAGTTGAAAAGAATCACCGGAGCGTCAGCGGTGAGAAAATATCACGCCACAGAGACCACAGAACCCAAGCCGGCCGAGATTAATGAAGCTGATGCCTAACGCTGGGTCCCAGGGAAGCCATTTCTAAAAAGCCACTAAAAAACAATTTAGATCTGGCGTGCACTTCTAACTTGATCCATTAAAATCCCTGCCTCTGCTCTGATCTGATCAGCATAAGTCTAGACTGGGTATAATGGGACAGCGGGGGATCACGTAACATAGCCTGGTAGCTAATTATGTGAACCAAGGCATGTCGTCTTATCGAAATGCTCTAAAAATAGCCTGCCGTTATCGAGGATTGCATGCTGCAGCGCTCAGGATGATGGAAACACTTTTGGTGCAAACGTAATGAACAGACCACAACTGTCACTAACATCACATCACATAAAAAAAAAAATAAAAAAAATCACATATCAATCAATCCTATGGTCAACACTACAATCTGAGAGAATTAGACTAAACCTCTTTAGAATATAAAATCATAACTTAAGCCATCCACGCCTCGTACCTCCTCACTGGTGGTTTAAAAGAGCTTCTGAGTGATTTAAGTATTTGTCTTTGTTTTAGCTGCAAACTATAAATTCCAGGTGTGGGCTGGCAGAGTGAGAATCTGCTTGTTGAACGGTGAAAACGACGTGCAGGCAGGTTAAGCATCCTTCACTTTTTGACAGATCAGAGACCAAAATAAAGTTGTAGGAGAGAATTAGAGGCTTCACTCCACAACGCGCTCATTCTAAGCACAGAGAGGACGTTTATGCTGCAGCCCTGACTCTGGTTGGTTACCCTGACGAACAGAGAAATAACTTGAGGAAAAGCATGCATTTTTTTTTCAAACAAGCTGTTATACAAAGCAGCTGCTGTAAGCTGCCTCCTCACTGTTCTGCCACCTAAATCCTTCCACTTCTGGTTCCCAGCAGATATTTGTGAAGTCTCTGCCAAACACTGGTGGGGTTTTAGAATTCAATTAACCTCTCACCTGAACGGAAAAAAAAGTCCAATCAAAGCTTAGACGCAGCAGATCCTCGGGTTTACATACATTACAGTGACGTCTGTAGGCTGCTGCTTTAGTGCTTTTCTTCAGCCAACACGCAACAAAATAATTAACTTGCATTAGTCTGGCCCAGCAACACAATGGAAATACAGCATGTTTGACTAACTAGCTTAGAAATTACAGTAATAATAACAAAAAAAAGCCTAATTTCTGTTTCACAGCATCATGTAATTTTACCAAATAACTAATACAGTCAATCAGCTTCGAGAGGTTTTTGCTTTAAAGTGAGCTGAAGGTTCTCAATCAAGTCACAGAAGAATTACTTATTTTTTATATGCAGTGGTTAGCACTTTTCCCGCACAGCAAGAAGCTTCCTGGTTCAAATCTCCAGTGATGCTGGGGCCTTTGGTGCTTGGAGTTTGCAGGTTTTCCCAGCGCCTGCCTGCGTTTCTCCAGCTTTTTCCCACAGTCCAAAAACATGCACAACAGGTTAACTGGTGATTCTAAACTGACTGTGGATGTACAGTACTTACTAAAGAAGCATTATATAAATGAGTGTTTATAAGTGCTCTTTAGTTGAAACTGAGAAGTCGAATTTTGTCAACATTATCTCAAAATCAAAAACTTTTAGTGCAAAACTTTACTCAAAATTCCAAGTGTGTCCCTGTGAACATGTGCAGCTGTGTGGCAGAAGCTCATGGATGTAACATCAGTGACAGGATGAGGTGTCAATGATGGTCAAGACACCTTTCATGGGCATGAAGGCTAAACATGCTCAGAACATTGACATGCATGATACTTCATGTAACAGTGACTGAACTTTGTCTCACCCTCTGCTGAGAGTGCCCAGCAGCTGGGCGCCTCTTCAGTGAGTTTGGTCCCTTCTGGAAGTGACAGTGTGACAGACATGATGACAGTCTGGCCCGCAGTCACCGCTACTGGCGCCATTTCTTTCCTGGCAGCTGATTTAGGCAGCGTGGGGGCTTTGGTCGGACCCGAGGGCTTTGTAGGTACCGAGTCTGTGCACTCGTGGGAGATGGGGAGCTGGTTAAGAGAGAGATTTGGGTGTTTGGATTAAACAAAAGCAAGGAGAAAGCTACCCTAACTTACAATGTCCTGTCTTTGTCACCTTTAATTCAATCTCTTCTAGCGCAGAAGCTTTTAGGACAGATTAATTACACAAACGTGTACAAAATGTAAAGCACTCTCTCAAGGTTGGAACCACACTTTTCCCAAATACACACACACGCACACACACACACAGGCAACGCACTCACCAGCGAGACAGTCTTGGAGGCCAGGTCCAGCACTTTGACTTGGTGGTTGTTGGTATCGGCCACGTAAAGCAGTTTTCCGCCGTCACCGACACAGATTCCTCCGGGTTCATTGAAGCAGGATTTGTTAAACTCTGGGCCCAGAGTATCTCCAGCATCTCCTGTTCCTGCTAATGTGCTACACTGCTTTGTTTTTGGATCCACCACCTTGATCTGAGGAGAATCACAGGCAC